CACATGTGGCCAAGATACTCACCACAGGAAAACTCGTGGCAAGCTGTTTTCAGGGACTTTTGGTCGGATTTCCAAAAATGTAGTACGGATTTTCAACCCTGCATCATTCTCTTTGGCATACTCTGAGGTGTAAGTGAGGTCCAAGTTAACAACAAATTCTCAGCCTAATGCTGCTGGCAGGCCTCTCATTCAAAACAATAATTGGCTGCCAACTATAATGAGCTTGTGAACTCAGGGAGCTCAGGAGAATGAAAGCGGTAATTCCAGGGGTAGATATTAGCACTTGTTCATTAGCTTCTATAAGACGACAAATCTCAACAAGTGTGATTTATTGCTAAATAAATGAAAATGGCTAATGATCTGGGCTGAATCTCAGAACACAGATCATCAGATTTCCCATTTCCCTTCAAACTGTGAACCAGTAAAGGTAGAACAATGTTAAAAAAATAAAAATTACTGAGATGCTACCATGGGCAGAGTAGTGTATATAGCACCCAACATATTATTGCTAGATCTCATGTATGTTTTCTATGTTCCATCATGTAAGCATCAAAACAGAGGAGAAAATTATTGTGATTTTATACCCAGGGAAACTGCAACTCAGAAAGGTTAAGTAACTTGACCAAGGTCACAGTTTCGGAAGCTATGGAGCTAGGATGGAAACTGAGCTCTGTTGGACTCCTAACTTAATTTTTTCTCCATTCTATGATGTGCATCTCTTTGAATGAAAGAAGTTATAATAATTGTCATTCCACAGACCTCTGCTTATGAAACTTCCTCATTTCCAAGGCAAGTATTTTTTTCCTGTTCATTTCAGTAAATATTTACTGAGCATTTGTTATGTGCTAATAATGTCTTTAGTGTTGTTGTTGCTAGGCATACATGGATGGGTAATTTTGGTTGTCCCTAAAATTTTACAGTTATTGGGGAAAAGAGAAAATTTAAAGACAGATAATATCACATACAGCAATTGCCTCACGGCCTTTCCGTGTTACCTTCCTTCAAATATCTGCATTACACCCCCAAGAACTGTAAAGGCGGGTCAAAATATGACCTGGTGGTTAGCATGCCTGTGCCCCATATCAGAGTGCTTGGGCTGGCTACCTGCCTCTGGCTCTTGACTCCAGCTTCCTACTAATGCAGGCTCCAGGAGTCACTGGTGATGGCTCAAGTAATTGGTTTCCTGCCACCCACTTCAGACTCCTGGATTGAGTTCTCATCTACTGGTTTCAGCCACCATTGTAAGCATTTAGGGAATGAACCAGCAGATAGGAGCTGGAGTGTTTCTCTCTCTCTCTCTCTCTCTCTCTCTCTCTCTCTCTCTCTCTGCCTTTCAAATAAATAAAGAGGAACTGTGGTGGATCTGAGACGTTACCCTATTTGAAAGCCAACAAATCAACCACCACACCCTCATGGAAGCTGGCAGGAGATATGAGTGAGACTCCTGGGTTAGACAAAGGATTTTATTGTTCACAGTAAGAGCAGTAGGCAGACTGTCACCTTTTGAGGTAGTCCTCCAAGCTTAAATCCCCACAGGGCAATGTGAAGAAGGCCAGGACACATCTGCACATATTAGGTAGCATTGGAGGAGGGGAACCTTAAGCTTAGATAATCCAAATCTTTTATAATGAAATGCAAACAGAACTGCATTTTCCCAGAAGGAGATATCTTACATGGTGGAAAGAAAGCAAAATTTTGCCTTTGCTCCAAATAGTGACATCTTTCTACCCACTAAGGTTGTTCTGTAAACAAACATTAATGTGTATATGTGTGTGGGGGTGTGTATCCCAGAACAAAAGAGCAGTTAGAGCCCTGCTCACAAGAAATGCAAGAAACCCATGGAGACTGTCTCTTCACATCTCCTTTTAGTCTGTATTCGAATATGAGGGGAGGTCTCTCCTAACCATTTTATTTAGATTTGTGACACCAATTACTCTCCCTAGGAACTCCCTATGCCCTGCCTGCTTTTTTAAAAATATTTATTTATTTACTTGAAAGTCAGAGTTACACAGAGAGAGGAGGGGCAGAGAGAGAGAGAGAGAGAGGTCTTCCATCCTCTGGTTCACTCCCCAGTTGGCTAGAGCTACCCCCATCTGAAGCCAGGATTCAGGAGCTTCTTCTGGGTCTCCCATGCAGGTGCAGGGGCCCAAGGACTTGGCTGTCTTCTACTGCTTTCCCAGACCATAACAGAGAGCTGGATTGGAAGTGGAGCAGCCAGGTTTCGAACCAGCACCCATATGGGATGCTGGCGCTTCAGGCCAGGGCATTAACCTGCTGCACCACAGCGCCAGCCCCAACCCTGCCTGCTTTTGTACTCATACCATCTAACAAAATTGATTTGCTTACTTATTTTATTTATTATAAGCTCCATGAAGGCAAGAACTTGTGTGTGCTTTGTCAACATATCCTTGATGGCTAAGATGGTACCTGATACATAGTATCACATATGTGATATCACATATCACATATTTAGAAAATATGTGTTGAATTAATGAATATAATATGAAAAGTTCTAGAGAAGTGATTATGTGCCAGGTATGGGAGCAATACTTAATGTAACCTAGTAGGAAGGTGAGAGAAGGTTCCCTGGAGGAGGTAGCACCTGAGAAATGTTACCAACTCAAAAGCATCGGTTAGGTAAGAAGGAGAAGAAAAAGAACAAGAGGGACAAGAAGAAACAGGAGGAGGAAGAGGGGAAAAGGAGAAAGAAAGGAAGGAAAGAAGAGAAGGAGGAAGGGAGGGAGGGAGAAACTGAGGGGCAGAGAGAGAGGGAGAGAGAGAGAGGGAGAGAGGAGCTTGCCTGGAGGAGAGAAGAGCATTCAATAACTAATGAAGAACAAAACACTACAATGTAAAGAAAGGAATTTGAATAAGGATGGGATTGCTACAACATCGAATAGTGAAGGGCAGTGGATGAAGGTGTAAATGAAGAGAGGAGCCTTGGTCCTTGACCAAGGTCCTTGGACTGTCTCCTGTGAGGAATAGGGGGCCACAAGAGACTTTTTTCAGCAAGGCTGTGAGGTTTCAGAAAGATTATTCTATAGTTGTGGAAGATGGATTTAAGGCCAGGAGTCTTTATTCCTAGATTTATTGGCTGAACCAAGTAGCAGCTCAAAGGTATCTGAATATTACCAAGAAGGACAGTGAAATTTCTTAAGGCAATTTTATGATGTAGATTTTTATTTTGAAAAGCAAATGAATAAACAAAAACATAGTGCTTCAGCCAAGGCACCTAACAATGTTGCAATAAATATAATTGTAATAAGTTAAGCACAACTTAAGAGTCATGGAAAGCAAACAGCAAGAACTGACTCCCAGTTAGACATCTCTTTATACTGAAATCAAATGACATACTCTTTCCATGGGCTTGGTGAACCCTTCATTAGACATACAAAGTCGTGTAGTTCTTTCCATCTTACCAAAGTTTAAAATTGTCTAAAACTCTATCTCGGAGTAGTAAAATTTATGAACAAGCCAAATCAAAGCCACCATTGAGGGAGCAGCTACTGTGAACAAAGGACTGTGCTACTTTTTGCTCTGAGTGTATTCTCCAGCAAGAGACACGCAGTTAGAAATATGCAAAGTAAGGTCTGGTGTTGTGGGTGGCACTGCAGGTTAAGCCACTGCCTGCAACACTGTCATCCCATATGAGTGCTAGTTCAAGTACCATCTTCTGCAATTCTGTAGTGGAAAGTGGCCCAAGTCCTTGGGACCCTGTCACTCATGTGGAGGACCAGGATGGAATTCCAGGCTCCTGGCTTCAGCCTGGCCCTGCCTTGACCATTGCAGCCATTTGTGGAGTGAACCAGTGGATGGAAGATCTTTGTCTTTCCCTTTCTCTATATAACTCTGCATTTCAAATAAATAAATAAATCTTTTTTTTTTTTTATTTGAAAGGCAAAGTTACAGAGAGGCAGAGAGAGAAAGAGAGAGAGGTCTTCCTTCTGCTCATTCACTCCCCAGATGACCACAACGGCTGGAGCTGCGTGGGTCAAAAACTAGGATCCAGGAGCTTCTTCCTGGTCTCCCACACGGGTACAGGGGCCCAAGGACTTGGGCCATCTTGTACTGTTTTCCCAGGCCATAGCACAGAGCTGGATCAGAAGTGCAGCATCTGGGACTTGAACTGGCAGCCATGTGGGATGTTGGCACCATAGGCGGCAGCTTTACCTGCTAAGCCACAGCGCTGGCCCTTAAAAAATCTTCTTTTAAAAAAGAGCAAAACAGTCCTTCCTGATCCTTTTTAAAATTTTTTAAGAAATATATGAAGTGAAATAGCAGTGAGAAATTTAAACCAGATTAAGATGCAATAGGAGAGATAGAACAAAGCAAATGAGTTACAAGACAATATTTGCAAAGTGACAAAATAGCTATATATAGAAATAATATCAATAACTAACACTTTCTGTGTGCTTCCTAGGTTGTGGGCATGAAGCTATATGTTTTAAATGGAATGTTCTCATTTAATCCCTGAAACTCTGTGAATCCTAATAATAAAGCTAACATTTATTGAGTGCTCACTATGTTCTGGGGACAATGCCAAGTGTTTTAAGTAGATTATTTTATCCATGAATAGAATCTGTTAAGCAGGTATAATCATTGCCATTTTACATATTAGGAAACTGAGATTTGGTAAGATTGATTTATTTTTTGTCCAAGGTTTCAGAAGTAATATGTGATAGTACCACCATTTAAATTCAAGCCAGGCAGCAGCGTTGTGGCATGTGGGTTAAGCTGCTGCTTGCAATGCTGGCATGTCATTTAGGAGTTCCAGTTAGAGTCCTGGCTGCTCCACATCTGATCCAGGTTTCTGCTAATGCACCTGGGAAGGCAGAGGAAGATGCCAAAGTACTTGGGTTCCTGCTACTCGTGTAGGAGACCAGGAAAGAGTTTCTGGCTCTTGGCTTTGGCCTGGCCCAGACCTGGCTGTTGGGATCATTTGGGGAATGAAGCAGTAACTAACGGACAGAAATTCTCTCTCTCTTTCTCTCTTTCAAATAAAGAAACAGAATCCAGACCATCACAGTTAATTACAATGCTGTCCTGCCTCATAACAACAGGTAAGTATTATGATCAAATTCATTTTGCAAAGGAGGAAGCTAATGCTCAGAAAAGTGAGGCCATGAACACATATCTGTAGGAAAGTAAAAAATACAGGAACTTAAACACAAAACACCCTGAAGGATCAAAAACACTAATGGTATAAAATATATATTTATATAAAATATAATATATATAATGAATATATATTATATATGAAAATATAAATATAGTATATATATTATCTAGGTCATCCGGCTAACCTGAACTTGAATTTGTATATGGGTAACTGAATGATAAATGGAGCAAGCCAGATTAAGATTTTAAAAGTTTTTGTCATTCACTTATGCCAGGGACTTTGCGTCTTACTAGATGGCAGGGATGTGACAGGTACAGTCCCTGCTCATAGGGGCTTTGGCACAGAGGCAAGGACTGCAAGTACAAATAAGTACAAGTGAGGAACTTCATAAAAAAGGCAGAGCCTGCGAGCAACCTGCTGGCATTCAAGATTAAAGTGAAAGAGTCATCCTTGAATTTTCTTGTTTTGAACCCCATTAAGTCATTTTATTTCTCCCATATTTATTTATCAGTGATCTCACATAATCTTCAGGATACAATGGAAAATCTTAAGCACATGCACACTAGCATGATTGGAACCTTGACCCATCTGTTTCCCTGTCACCCTCCTGCCATTGCACATACACATCCTGGGTACCAGCCAAAACAAGCGACTTACCTCTTAGACCACAGCTCCCTGGCTGTACACTTCCCTTCCTTTGCTATGTAGTTAGTGTGCTTGGAAAGTTTTTCCTTGCCTTTCTGCCTTCTTTTCTTTCTTATTTTTGGAAATTCAGTTAAACTTCTCCCACCCAGGGAACCGTTCTTGACCACTCTGCCTGCCACTTGAAGCTCCCTTAGCCTGTGCCAGGCATTGCCTTTATCACCTGGCTTTGCAATTATTCATTCTTGAAAGCTTTCCTACAGTACAATCACTTCTTCTAGATGAAAAGCAACTTGTTTTAGATTTTTAATACCATCTTAGCTGCAAATGGGACACATTGGGGCCTTAATAAACATTTATTGAATTAAGGAATACATGAATGTGTCAATGAATTAATACATTCTGGAGACGATTAAGTATTCATAGAAAACATCATATTAAATGCTTACAGGAACCAGACAGGAGCTGTAAATGCATGAACTGGCCACGTGGGACACATGTCCTGTCTAAAATGAGCTCTGGTACAGGTGCAGGAGGTGCCTAGGAGATGAAGGAACCTAGACAAGCACTGACTTTCTCCTCTGCCAGCAGAAGAAGGTTTATCTTTGATTTCATATTTCCAAATAAGTTTCACAACTCTCCCTGAAAGTGCTATAATGAGTAAGATTAATATTCAAACATCAAATTCACCTTCATCTATCCTGTGGAGTGTTCTACCACCTCATCACCATGAGAGCAAGAACAATATTATTCACATGTTCTGCTTACCACTTAGCACATGGAGGGTGTTTAATTAGTGTTCAAAGAGTAATCATAATATGCAGAAGGTGAAAGGAAAAGCTATGTGTTTTTTAACAAAAGAGTGTGACAGTAATTTTCCCTTTGAAAGTACATCCAACTTCGGTGTGATTTCTTATTTGTGTAACCGTGGTCCTTTCCATGCCATCTCAGCAACATGAAAGGAAAAATGTTGATGTCGTACTCTGAAAGGCATTTGGCTCCCAGTGCTCTCTATTGTGGTCATGTGCCCATCAGCAAACCACCTAGCGCCCCAGAGATGCCAGGCACTGAGCCTCAGACTCCAACTTCCCTTCGACCCTGGAAGTAGCTTTCAGTGCCCCTCAGCTTTCTTCCTCAAAAGTGCCAGGGGGTTCAGCCGTTCTGTTCTCGCTGGCTGACACGGCACATTCCCTCTGCTGCTGGGAAGCAGTGGTGATTCACTGTGCGTTTCACAACTTCCCCAGGATGAGGATGGATGCTGGCTGGCCACCGTGGGCTGCCACCCTGCTGTTTTCCTGCATGCTCTGCCTCCGGGCTCCAGGGCTGACGTCTGCAGCTGGTGTCACCGAGCTCTTCATATGTACCATGTATGCACCTGCTAAACATGGACACTTGGCCCCATTCAGTCCTTCCAAAAACTTGAGGAAGAAGGCCCTGTTTTTATCCTCGTTTTATAGATGAGAAGGCTAAATGGCAAAACAGGATTCACATATAGACTAGTGGGTCCAGGCACCAGCATTGTCATCACTATGTTAAATTGCCAGGAGTTACCCTGAGTGAGATGCTTTCAGCCAATAATCATGGTAACTAGGAACAACAATAAAAGATGATAATAACCATGTCTGTGAATGTGGGAGACTCCTCATCGTCCTTGAATAGTGAAGCTAAGAAAAAAAGAAAACCCTTAATTTTTAGCCAGGCAAATGTCTGCCTATAAGAGAGTGCATTTCCCAGCCCTTCTTACAATTCCATACGACCATATGACTAAGTTCTGGCCAATGGAATAAAACAGAAGTGGAATAATTTTAGGAAATTTATAAAAATGCATTTGATTTTTTGACAGCATTCCCGCCATAAGAATTATATAACATCTATTTTTACTACATATATATTTACGTACAAGGGGTCTTCCAAAAGTTTATTGAAAATGCATGTTATGAAAAAACTGTGCACTGATTTCAAAATTTTGCACCAAAATAAACTTATATTTAGTTTTATGTTCCCCAATTTTTCTTTTAGAAGTACCCTTGTATACTTGCATGAAATGAAGCCCTATACATAGCTTTCGTATCTAGACCTTTGAAAATAATATGACAAAATGTTTACTTTTTGAAAGTCAGAAAAATCCAAGATAAGGTCAAACTCTTTGAAGGTTGGGTATGTAAGCAATGAGTTTGAGTTGGACACTCTTCCACTTTCCACATGACCTTGGATGGTCAGAGAACTTTTCATTACTCCCTGTTACCTAAGGAGTGGTCTCCTTCCTCAAAATGTCTATGAGCAGTCTCCAAAAAGTTTAAGGAAAATGAATATTATGACTAAACTATGCATGGATAGTAAAAAGTTTTGCACCAAAATAAGCTTATCTTTTAAGTCCAATTCCACAAACTTTTTGAAGTATCTCCATCTATTTCTGAAACACAAGTTCAATGTAGAAATAGCTTTAGAGTGTTGTGTACTTTGATATCTTCTATTTCACTTTTAGAAGCTATCCATTATATTGATTTTATGACTCACTAGTGAGGCATAAACCACAGTTCAAAAAGCATTGCTTTACCAGGCAGTGTCTGTGTGATTTTCTCTTTTCCCTTTTGTTCAGCTTTCCTGCCTCCTGAATGAAGCACAGATGTCCCACTTGGGACTGTAAGTTCAAGGCCACACATACAGCAGTATCAAGAGGAAGAACACCTGGATCTCTGATGGGATAAAGTGTTGAAACGCCCTAAATCCCCTACCAGGGCTTTTCTGTGACAGAGACCTGCACTTCCATCTTATTTCAGCCACTGTCATTTTGAACCTTCTGTCCCTTGTGGCCAAAACTAATCCTAACTGGCTGAGCTAATGAATTGTGTGTTTGCTTTGCGATCCGTCTCTCTGTCTCCTGCTTGGCCTTCTTTTGCAAAGGGGCTGAGTCCTGGATTCAGACTGTGGATGGTGTTGGTGAGCAATGTGGGAGTGGAGGAAGAAGAAGCCAAGGCACTTCTCCCTCCTGCCTGCCTTAGGTGGCGTCTTCCCAGCAGTGGCTGGGTCATTCCTGTTCCTGGAGCTGTGGTTTCATCTCTGCTGTGTGACCTCAGCCATGGTCTCTGTAACTCCACATTTTCCTTATATCCCTGCAACATCTTTAGATTCCAGCTCTTCCAGTACCATTTAATAAATGAGTCCCCTGCATTAAATTTCTCCTATTCTAGATATGTGAAAGCAGATGCAGAGGGGCCGGCGCTGTGGCATAGCGGGTGAAGCCGCCGCCTGCAGTGCCGGCATCCCACATGGGCGCCGGTTCGAGTCCTGGCTGCTCTACTTCCAATCCAGCTCTCTGCTATGGCAGTAGAAGATGACCCAAGTCCTTGGACCCTTGCATTCACATGGGAGACCTGGAAGAAGCTCCTGGCTCCTGGCTTCGTATCATCATAGCTCCGGCCGTTTCGGCCAATTGGGGAGTGAACCATCAGATGGAAGACCTCTCTCTCTCTGCCTCTCTTCTCTCTATGTAACTGACTTTCAAATAAATAAATAAATCTTAAAAAAAAAAAAATAAAAGAAAGCAGATGCAGATTTCCCTACCAGGCCCTGACTCACACGAATACATCACAAACAGCCTGCTACATAAAATCTCCCACTTCCTCCTCACCCATCAGAAAGGCCCTTTTCTCCTGGTCCCTGTCTCCTTATAAATGATGACACCGAGGCCCATAAAAGCTATCTATGATGACCAGTCATGTGTGAAGTTCAGGTGTATCCAACTCCAAACCTACTACCTGCATATCCAACTTCCATAGAACTTGACCCTTTTTTGGATTTCTTTGACTTTTCAAAAACTAGTCATTTTTATCACATTAATTTTCAAAGATCTAAACACAAAAGTTATTCATAGGACAGGTAGAATCCATCAAAGGCCAACTGGCATCCTTCAACTTCTCTCCATTTTAGTTAATGGTCCCAGCTTTTCCCAAGGTCTCTTCTCAGCCTGGGCTAGGGGCATGCTTTATGTCCCTTCACATCAAAGTCCTAATTATTATTCAAGGACTGCATTTACTCATTCATAAAATGTTTATTGAGTGCTTAGTATATGCCTGAGGGCTAGGGTCTGGGGTGAGGCAAACATGAATGAGAGCCAGTTCTTGGACTCAAAGAGCTCATTGTCTAGAAGAGGAGACAGGTACATAACATAACGAAAGCATGCATATAAGAAATACTTCAGTGAAGTACCATATAATAGTAGCATACCAGAGAGGTGAACCTTGGGCTGGTTCCTGAAGAATATGTAGGAGTTTGGGAATTGAATGGAATTGGAAGAACATTTCAGGGTGAAGGAAGCAAATGTTCATTGAGCAAATGTTAAAAGGCATAAAATATTTTATTTGTATAAAATGGGGGTATATGTTTAGCTTATACCTCAATATGAACCTCAAAACTACTATTTATCCAAATGTGTGCATATGTATGTATATGGATTCATGTTTATATATACATACACATGTGTATATTTATATATACACGGTATCATCTTCCAAATTCACTTAGCTACATATCCATATTTTATAGATACATTATATATGCTACATGTTTGCATATAAGTATACACAGACATATACACATATATGAGGGGATTTCAAAAGTTTATGGAAAATGGAATTTAAAAATAAATTTAGGGGCTGTTGCTGTGGCATAGCGGGTGAAGCCTCTGACTGCGGTGCCGGCATCCCATATGGGCGATAGTTTCAGTCCTGGCTGCTCCTCTCTGCTGAAGCTTGGGAAAGCAGTAGAAGATGGCACAAAACCTTGGGCCCCTCCACCCATGTGGGAGAACCAGAGGAAGCTCCTGGCTCTTGGCTTGGGATTGGTGCAATTCTGGCCAGAGTGGCCAGTTGAGGAGTGAACCAGTGGATAGAATACCTCTCTCTCTGTCTCTCTGTCTCTCCTTTTCTCTCTGTGTAACTCTGACTGTCAAATAAATAAATATATCTTAATAAATAAATAAATGAATTTAAGGGTGAGCATTTAGCCTTAACTCTGGTTAAGACGCTTGCATCTCATATTGAGTTACCTGGATTTAATTCCAAGCTCTGGCTCCTGACTTCCACTTTTTGGCTAATGCAGACCAGGGTAGGCAGCAGTAGTTGGGTTCCTGACACCCATGTGGAAGACCTAGATTGAATTCCTGACTCCCCAGTTCATCCCAGTCCTGGTCAATGCTGACATTTTGGAGTGAATAGCAGATGGGACGTGTGTGTGTGTGTGTGTGTGTGTGTGTGAGAGAGAGAGAGAGAGAGAGAGAAATAAAAATTTTAGGGCAGGTATTGCAATGGGACAGGTTGAGCCACTGCTTGAGATTCCTCCATCCTACATCAGAGTGCTGATGTTTTGAGTCCCAGCTACCCAATGCTTCCCAACCAGCTTTCCGCTAATGATCCTGGGAGGCCACAGAGGGTGGTCCAAGTACTTGGGTTCCTGTCACCTGTGCAGGAGACCCAGCTGGAATAACTGGCTTCTGGCTGCAGCCCGACTTAGACTTGGCATTTTTAATTGTGGGCATTTGGAGTGAATCAGTGGATGGAAGATAGCTATATATTTCTCTCTCTCTGTCACTCTACCTTTCAAATAAAACAAGTAAATCTTTAAAAAAATTGGCAAAATAATTTATTTTGGTGCAAAATTTATGAAATCCATGTATTTTTCATAATACACATTTCCATGAGCTTTTTGAAGATTTTTTCTATGCAACTATGTGTGTGAATATAGATATGCGTATATCACCTTTGCTTTTTCCTTTCCCCTTTGACCTTTATGATATATTAATCTAACTTACTCAAAAAGGGAATAAGGAGGAACAGAAGATTTACTGTATTAGCACAGTAAGGAAATCCAATTGGTTGGATTAAATCTGTAACTGCACTCAGCCCACTAACAAATACCTTAAAGAACAATGATTGAAATGGAAGCCATACGCACAGGACTTTGTACAAGGACATTCCTTCACAGGCAAAAATCTAAATGGAACCTGAAGGCTCAAGTTCCTTTCTGGAATACCATTAAAGAATGTGTCCTGTACTTGTTAATGTTTCAACTGAAAGTAAGACATGAGTAATAAAGGCTGTTTTCCACTGGACCGCGTAATCTCACATCTATTCGTTTGCAAAATAGCTTTCCAAAATTCCTTTTGCTCAGGGCAGCACGACTCAGGGAGGAAAGGGGATCAGCTTAATATAATGCAACCCAGAACTCTGGAAGGAGGCCTTTTGCTGACCCAGTGAATTCCCGCCCAGTGCAGGCCTGGTCCTCCACCAAAGTAGTGCGAAGGAGGCTGCCCTGCTGCCCTTCATCCAGCCCAGCTCTGCATCTGGAAAAGACCATCTGCAATTTGGTGGTTACTTCTGCATTATCTTATGGTTTGTTTATTGTCTTATCTCTCCGATGAGCTTAAAATGTCCCTAAGGAAAAGTAATTTGTCATATACGCAGTTCTTTGGAAACAATTACACTGTTTTCTGAAAATGTACCACGTGGTGGGTTCCCATTCTTATGTTTTCCAATTCTCTCTTGCCATCTGGACTTAGGAAAAGGAATACACCCACCACACTAGGGGAGGAGAGCATGATGTTGGAGGAACCCTTTCAGACAGGACAAGAGGCCGTCCTTTTGACATCAAGCAGTAGGGCAGAGAGAAGACAAGCAAAGAAGAGGCATGTGGGCCTGGAACCCCAGTGAGGATGAGGAGCTGGGAAACAAGCAGATCACTCTAAGGAGCCACAAGGCTGGGGGACTCGTCCTTGCTTTTCTGGAAGGACCCAGGTAGCATTGCCCTGATCACAGCACCACCAACCTGTAAAGCAGAGACGGCAGAGAGACATAGGGGTGATGCCAGAGCTCCCTGTGTTCATCAGAAGCCTTGGTTGGTGAAGAGCGAGTTTTTAGGTTTCCTGTGGGTCTAGGGAAGACTGAGGCAGAGAGCAGGGGCATGGGCCATCTCCCCAGCTCTCCAACATGTTGTGTGATGGTTCTGCCACCAGAAATCAGAGGCTCCCTGGTCCTGGCTCTGCAGAATTCCTCATGCTTAGATGTTAGGGAGGGAAAGTCCCATGAGGGCTCCTGATCATGGGCCATGATCATGCCAGGGGGCAGCCAGGTGCCACCAGCACCAGAGTCACAAACACGGGAGAACACCAGCACCGGAGCATTACCAAAAAGGCCAGATGTTGAATACTGCAGTAGTGGGGCCTGCCAGGTGGCAGGAATGGGAGCAGAGCAGCCACACTGACAGGACGTGGCCCAGGAGGACATATAAGTCATCCTCCAGTCAAGACTAACCTCGCAAGAAGGGAAGAAGGAGGACACCCTGACAAGTGACTACCCTCAAGAGAGTGAGCTGAAACCAGAGGTTAATTTAAAGATATTGCTGATTGATGAATTTAAATACAGTTCCTTTTGTCTGATGGGATGGAGGCTACTGAAGAACTTTGAATTCATCAGAGAAAATGTATGTTACAAATCTTTCATATATTGAGTTTTGTGCTATGAAGTATTTAATTCAGTGACTTTTTTAAAAAAGATCTATTTATTTATTTGAAAGTCAGAGTTACACAGAGAGAGAATGAGAGGCAGAGACAGGTCTTCCATCTGATGGTTTATTCTCCAATTGGCTACATTGGCCAGAGCTGTGCTGATCTGAAGCCAGGAGCCAGGAGCCTCCTCTGGGTCTCCTACATGGGTGCAGTGGCCCAAGGGCTTTGGCCATCTTCTATTGCTAACCCAGGCCATAGCAGATAGCTGGATCAGAAGTGGAGCAAGGCTGGCACCGTGGCTCACTATGCTAATTCTCCGCCTGTGGCGCCGGCACTCTGGGTTCTAGTCCCAGTTGGGGCA